ACCTTGGTTGGCTGGGTTTTACTTGCTTCTCTTTTTGACTTATCCATGGTTGGTTGGTTTTTGTGGCTATGGTTTTTACAGGATGAGGTAGTCAACCGCAAGCCCAACCCTACCCTTAGTCGCTTCTTACGACATGCCTGGTAGGGTGCAGGAGTTTGCTGAGAGAAAAATCTTAAATCACTAGAACAAATGCGGGATATAAAACAAAACCTGTCACTGATACCAACTGATTCGGACTGTTCAGAAACTACTTGAGGATAGAAAGTAGAGATCATATACATCTAGATCTGTGATAGATTTTTATTAATTTTACCAATGGCCACTTTATCCCCCCCCCCCCCCCCCCAAAAAAAAATGTAAAGCATCGTCGTACGGCAATTGCAATCTAATAGTAACTGGAAAAAACATATCAGATCATGAAAAATCTACACCCACCCCCCCCCCCCCCCCCCGGGGGGGGGGCCGCCATTTAAAAAAAAATAACACAGGATGAAAGTCAAAAAGCTAGTCACAGCTTATTAAGGTTTCGCTGGAGACGATGCTCCAAGAGTCGTTTTTCCTTCCATCGTTGGCAGACTCCGCCATCAGGTATATAATTCATTTGTTATATATGTTGTTACGTTTGTAATTGGGACGAATGAAATAGGAATATTAAAACAATGACCCCCAGGCACAGTAATGAGAAAGTTAAAGCAGCAGAGTTGCAACTCACTGTAAGCATGACCTGCCATTGCGCAATACGCACAACTGATCGTCTAAGTGAAATCATGAGCCAATGGTTGGGCGAGTATATTGGAACACGTACAGTTGCATTGTTCCTGCATAATAAAATATTATATCTCCTGCACTTAAGGCTGAAAAGGTTTACGCTTTATCTGCCACTTGTTTTGTTGAGGATGACAGTCATAAATTCAATCTCGAGCTTTTCATGTGAATCTGCGATTTCACCTATACTGTTCAATGTTTTTTTTACGAGCAAGATTGCGGACCTGGAAACACCTGGAGTTGGCAGAATATTGACATTTGCAAATGATGTTCTCGCATACACGCAGGGAAAAGATCGGAATCAAATAGCTCAAGATTTGCAGGCGACAGTATAAGGTGATCGACTGGTGTAAAGAAATGAGTGCTGTAATCAACACAGAAAGGGCAACCGTCCCGTGGTGCTCTTTGGACAACAAGATTGTTAGAGCTGATGTTCCAAGTCTCAAAATAAATGGAAGGGACATCAAAAGAGACAGCAGACTGCGGTACCTGGGAATCACCTTTGACAAAGGCTTGTTTTTCAAGGATCACATAGAGGTTGTGATAAAGGCTCAAAAAGGTCCTAATGCACTAGAGATTATGGCAGCAATGGACATGGAGCAGAGAATGCTGTTTACACTTTACCAGCACTTAAGCATCTAGAGAAACTGGAGCGCATACAGAATGAAGCTATGGGGTTGATCTTGGGATGTATAAGAGACACCCAGACTGTGTGCACGCAATACATCCTTGCATTGTCGACTATTACAAATAGGCTTAAGGTGTCGCAGGCTAAGTCTTACCTGAGTAGCTGCAGACAAAGACCATCCCCTGTTCAAAGCTTTGGCTGCAGGTAAGGGCCAAAGGCTGAAAAGGGGAAAATCGTGGATGGCTCAAGCAGAAGTCACAATAAGACAAGTATGCATGCTAGAGAAAATTGGGTGAGGAGAGGAGTGGATCAGAATACCAGAGGACAAGTCTGACCTGTGTAGGGTCATGATCATATTGGACCGGGAGTGCAGAAAGTGGGCAGCGGGTGCTACGGAGGTGGAAGTACAACAGTTGATCCATGACAATTCACACCCAGGTGATCTGATTATCTATACAGATGGCTTAGTGTTGAGAGGGAAGAGAAGCGCCTGGGAGTTCGTAGAGAAAGCCAATGAAACATCTGTAGTGCAGGACAGCCTAGCATATGATACCACAACATCTAGCATGAGAATGGATGTGGAGGCAGTCACTGCAGCTTTCCGGTGGCTAGAGAACAAGGTACATACACATGTCGTAGTTGTAACAGACTCTGAAAACATGCTGAGAAAGGTGAAGACAGGGATGCTTCGAGCAGAGTGGCAAGTTACACTTGCAAGGTCACGGGAAGTGAGCATACTTTGGATCTTTTATCCAGGCGATGCCAGCATGATATGGAAGGAAAAGGAAGACAGACTGGCTGAATCTATACCACTGGATGGTAAATTTATACATGACAAGGCAGATGTGGTCAAGGTCCTTTGGGAGCACACACACACACACAAAACTAAATAAGAAGAGAAACAAGATTATTATGGCTTTGAGAGGATGATGCACCTGGGTGTAACCATAAGGTCTGGCCGGCAGACTAGTCTAAGAGGAAAGGCAAGACGGACATATAACCAGGTTACGACTGGTACCATTAGTATTGGAACTCTGCGCTTGCTGCTGATTATAGTTACGGAGCGCGTAAGGCAATGCCCCGAGAGCTGTGATGTCAATACTTGACTCAACTCAAGCAAGTGATGCGAAGTGAGTACAGTGTTATTTTTTTTTTTTTTTTTTCTGGTTTAATTTGGGTAGCAGTTTAGCTTAAAATAAAGTTAATTTTTTTTTATCTGGCAACCCTGCTGGCCAATTGTCGGTGTTTCTGTCAGTGTTGCCACTTTGGATCTTTTATATCCAAATTGAGATCTTTTTCCTTGCATTTAGATACTGTTTTTGACGTTTAGATCGTAAATATTTTTCTAGATACTTCAATATAGTTAGATATTTTATAGATTTTTTTTTCTTTCATTGTCAATTTAATAATTACTGTGTAAAATATTTACTACAATATTTTTGTTTTGGTCTGGCACGTACATTGTGACAACTGCCATTACTTGAACTTTGAACTCTCACTAGGGTCAACGCACAAATATCTGGCAACCCCGGTACTGATTAATAAAAACGCGCGTAAATCATACTAACTTTGTTTCAACCGTATCCTCACTGGGCTGACTTTGCGTTTCTTTTTCATGTGATAAAAAAGAATAATTGCTCACCTTCTTATGTTGCTTTCACTTTGAAAAAACCTTTCAAGATGCCAAAAGTAAAGTATGAGCAAAAATTTTTGAAAGAGTGGTTGCATGATGACAAAATTAAAAACTGGGGATACGACCAAAGCATGTTTTAAGTACTGCAAGTGTGAAATTAAAGCGAAAATACAAAACTCAAAGAGTCATGCAGAGACTAAAAAAGCATAAAACTGCAGTTTCATTTAAAGATTTTACACCGCTGACATCTGTTTTCAGAACTATACTGATAAATAAATCATCAAAAGTTGAAGTATCAGTCGCAATGTTTTTAATTTGTCACTGCGTAATTTAAAACTGTGACCATTTGATCGATTCGTAAAAAATATTGGACTTGTTCAATTTGAAAAGTGTGATGTAAAAAGTATAGTTTAGGAACTGAAGGGCCTTTTAATCAGCAAACAGTTAGGCTTGAAGAATTTGGCTGTAATTGGTACTGATAATGCCTCAGTGATGGTTGGTATAAACAATGACGTTTATGCCAAGTTGAAGGAAGCTAACCCATCGTTAATACTTATAAAATGTATGCGTCATTCATTGCAGCTAACATTATCACATGCTTCATCTAAATATTTACCAAGGAATTTGAAATACCTTAATGTTGAAACACTTCACTAGTTTTCCAAATCATTTGTCAGACAACAGCAATACAATACATTATATACAGCCTTGAATGATGGTTCCACACCACCGAAAATTCTGTCAGATTGCAAAACTAGATGGTTATTAATTTAACCAGCTGATGAAAGAATTATGAAGCAATGGCTGAAGTTGAAGACACACTTTGAAATAACAAGACAAAGTGAAAAGTGCTACACAGCTGAAATACTATATGGAATGTACAGTGATGAAAAAAATTTGTCATTCATTCACTTTTTATAACCTATTCGAATGGAAGTGCAAAAAGTTAATAAACTGTTCGAATCTAAACTTGTTGATAAAGTTAAATTACTTGATGATCTCACCTTGCTATTTCACTCAGTAAAAGACTGGTGTTGCCAATTTCTAAAGCTGATTTGCTCGCTTGCACTATAGAGAGCTATTTGGCTCCCAAGCCACACCTTGGATATTAAATCGAATCAAAAATTGATGATATAAAAACAAAATGACTGTTAACAGAGAACGAAGAGAACAACTTAAGAAAACACTGTCAAGATTTCTTTATCTCATTATTCAAGCAATTGAAGCAGAGACTTCTTGAAAATCTAGATGTTTTGAAAAATATTTCATTTTTTCTGTGAGTTCAGCCAATAAAGGACATACCTAAATATTGTAAAGTTATGAAATCTTTAGGGGCTACTGATAATAGTGTCGCGGAAGCAGAATATTAAATCAGAATATCAGTTAACCAAATAAAGTTAACTGAATGGACAAACAAAACAGAAACTAAAGCGTTTTGGAGTGAAGTGAGACAATTTAAAGATGCGTCATCTAACAGTCCATTCTGTAAGCTCTTTAAAGTGCCATGTCTGCCATGATACTACCCCACTCAAATGCTGACGTAGAAAGAGTTTTCAGTGCTAGGAATTATATCAAATCTAACCTAAAAAACAGGATGAAATTTGACCTCTTAAATGCTATCGTGCCTGATGAGACTAGAGAAATAAGCCTACTGTTCCACTTATAAAGAAATTTGAACAGCTAAAGCATACCAGGGTCATTTTGGATCTGAAGCTTCAACTTCATTATCCAAGCTAAGTTTATTCTGTGGATCTTGTGAGGCAGACATCAGTGAAGGCGAGGACATGATTATGTAGGGTAATTCAAAACAAAAGCTATGTAATTTTTGACTTTTTCAATTTGAATGTTTTTCTAGATCTTTTCCACTCTGATTTAGATCTTTGTAGATATTTTTTGACACCGTTTTGGATATTTTTTGTCAAAGAAAAGTGGCAACACTGGTTTCTGTTTCACAACATAATCTTTGGTATCAAAATGGCGCAGAGTGGCGCAACTTTCAAAAACGTAAGTCGCAGTTATTAATGACTTTAAATCAAAAACTCAGCTTTTTATAGTGGGTGAAAATCACACCAACCGCAAAATTTCATGAGAGATTAGGACCCATCCCGAAACCCCAGCCGACATTTGCAAGCAAGTTTCCATGGTAACAGAAATTGCCAAAAGACTGCCAATTGCTGAACACCGTAGTCACTAAAAATACCCTAACAGGGCCTCAATCATATGTAAATTGCGGACTTACTTCCATCGAACATACCACATGCCGCGGGAAACACTTCTCCGAATAACGGTCCCAAATCATCGAGGGTGTCAAGCTACGACACTGAGTGCTAGGTTTAACTTCTCCCTTAGGTCCTAGGTTTTAACTTCTGGCTCTCCTCTGAACTTCTACCCGATATTATGGCGGCCAAGCAAATAGCCTAACAGGGCCCCAGTCGTGTGTAAAATGCGGACTTTCTGCCAAGAAACAAATCGCGATAAAACTAGGATTACTTGACAATTTCAAGAGACGCAACACTGCAGACCATTGACAATATCCGGCTCTCCTCCAAACTTCTACCCCGGCATTATGGTGGCCATAAAATATCCTTATGGGGCTCAGTTCTATTAAAAATTTGCTGGCTCTGTATAACGAAACAAATGCTCTAACAGGGTCTCAGCGGCATGTGACTTGCGGACCTGTTTCTGTGACTGCCTCACCGCCGACCGTATCCCCCGTGCGGTGCGGATGGGGGCTAAACTAAATGGCTGGGACTCGTGAGCAGCAGCTACCGCATCTCCTGCAACTCCCTCCAGTTAATTTGCTCATGAGTCCCAGGCACCTAGTTTAGCCCCCTTTCTGCGCCGCGTGTAGCGGCGTGGGGGATACACCAGTAAAACATCATCATGACTATTTTCTCAGTTGACATGTTGCATCTGGCAAAGAACGAGCCTGTGCGCATGCTACACTATCGTCTGCTACTATCGCCTGCAATGTTGCGTCTTGAAATTGTCAAGTAATCCTAGTTTTGCCGCGATTTTTTCCTTGGCAGAAAGTCCGCATTTTACATATGCCTGAGCCCCATAAAGATATTTCAGGCCGCCATAATGCGGGGGTAGAAGTTCGGAGGAGAGCCTTATTTCGAGACACGCAACATTACAGACAATAATAGCCAAATGGCGGGGAGACCACCCGCTCCAACACAGATTAGCGTCGTCGTTGTCCTCAAACTTTTCAGCATGCACAAAACGCGGTTAAACTCACCGTATTCCTAGTTTTATCACGATTTATTCTTTGGCAGAAAGTCCGCCTTTTACACACGACTGAGGCCCTGTTAAGCTATTTGCTTGGCCGCCATAATATCGGGTAGAAGTTCGAAGGAGAGCCTAACTTCTCCCCTGGCTGCTAGGTTTAACTTCTCCCCTAGGGTTAGGGCCATGAGTATTGGAATTACGACACTGCCACCAGAATCTGTCACAACCGGGGAACCGCGACCCTATCGACTAAAGGGTTATGGGTGGAACTGACGCGTCACTAGTCGCGCGTTGTTTACTGAAAATTAAGCGCAGTTTTCTGGCGGCACAGTCAGAATCATTGAGGTCGTGTTAAGATATTTTCATAGCCTCGATAATTGGTTTTGGTTAGTTGCGTATGCTTTGCAGGACGTTGCAGAACCAACCCCAGCAGCCCCAGCCTGTTGTGTGGTTTCTCTAGGCAAATTTATGTCCAGTAGTTTGCCATTGCTTTCTGGACGGTCGGCCACCTGATACCACTGTCAAAACCAACGCAAGGCGCATGGCCCGCAGCTGGGATCGAACCCATATCTTTGTGAGGCACGGTGAACCGGCAAGTTCCGGCACAAAAGCCGCAGAGAACTTCATCAGCGATTTCAAGAAGCTCGTAGATTCTGAAGGTTACTTGCCGCAATAGGTTTTTTTTTTATTGTGACGAAACAGGTCTCTTCTGGAAAAAGATACCATAGCGAACGTATATTACAGCTGAGGATAATGCATTGCCCGGTGCTATTTTGTGCCAATACAAGCGGCGATTTAAAAATTAAACCTCTGCTTGTTTACCATTCAGGAACTCCACTAGCCTTCAGTAAATGCAAAATCCAGAATAGCAGGCTAAATGTGAAGTGGAGGTCCAATAGGAAGGCTTGGGTGACACGTGACCTTTTTACTGGGTGGATCAATGAAGAGTTGAGTCCTTCTGTAAAAAATATTTGCTTGAGATGAATCTGCCACTCCATGCCTTGCTTGTTATGGATAACGCTCCTTCCGATCCTCTAGGCCTACAAGATGACCTCCCTGAAAAATTTAAGTTCATCAAGATCTAGTTTCTGCCTCCCAACACCACTTTGTTTCTCCAGCCCATGGACCAGCAAGTTATTTCTAACTTAAGAAGCTCTACACTAAAGCCCTTTTCGAGCATTGTTTTCAGGTGACTGAAGGGACCAACCTCACTCTCAGATAGTTTTGGAAAAATCCCTTCCACATCGTTGCCTGCCTTAAGATGATCGACAAGGCATGGGAAGGAGTTACCAAGAGAACCCTAACTTCTGCTTGGAAGAAGCTTTGGACGGAGAGCCTTGTCGAATGTGACTTTGTGAGGTTCGAGACAGTACCTGTAGAACCTGTAGTCAACGAGATTGTGTCTTTGGGATTGGAGATGGATAACAGTGATATCAAAGAGCTTGTGGAAGAGCACAGCCAAGAGCTTATGGAGTTGCATTGTTTCACAGCAAGAAGTTTTGGAGGAAAGTTTGTCAGAGGAGGAGGAGTAACAGAAAAGCAGCAATCTTCTGGGGAAATAAGAGAAATGCTGAAAGCATGGGAAACTGTTGCATCTTACATTAAGAAGCATCACTCTAATTAGGAAGTGTCTATGCGCGCTGTTAATTTATTTAATGATAATGCTGTGTCTCATTTTCGCCAAATTTTGAAGAGTCAGCAAAAACAGATGTCTCTGGACATCTTTCTAGTAAAAACTAATTAGGTATATTAATTGTTTCAATTTTTGTGTTTTGTTTTCTGCAAATCGAATTCCCATTCCAGGTGGGTTCGTTCAGCCGTGAAAGAAAAGATGAAGATGATTCACTCTCCTTAACAACATGTATATAATTTTCTTTAAATAAAGGCTATACATAACATTTTGCAAGTATTTCTTCACCATGTATTTTACATTAATTTATATGAGAAAATTTATTTCGCATAACGAGTGTTTCGCTTTACGAGTATGATTCTGGAACAAATTATGCTCGTTAAGCGAGGTTCCACTGTATATCCTTATATAAAAGTAGGTAAATGTCTTGTTTCGTAACTATAAGTTTTGTACTTTTTAATCATTCTCGGGTTTTGGTTTTTTGTTCTTTGCCTGTATTGTTGGGGTTTTTTTTGGTCAGGGTAGCTTGGTTTTTTTATAAAAATCCCATTGGCAGCCCTGATCTGCAAACCATCACTGTGGTGCCCTGTCTGCTGCCAATTTTGTTACATGATTTTGCTGTCTACCTATAAAGTTCAGTATTAGTAATAATTCTGTGCTGACTCTCCTCCTGATATCTTTTCTAAGTCGATCTTTCCTCGTTACACCTAGCATAGTATGCAAACATTTCATTTCTGCAGTTGCTATTATAATAACTATAGTGTAAACTGACAAAAGATGGATCCAGATTTGTATCCAAGTAAAATATAGGGTTGAAATGACTAAATTTTTGCATTTTTTTGTTTTTCAACGAATCCCTTAGCAGCTAAACTTCATTGCAATCAGGGCAGTGAGGTCTAACTGTATATGCATTTCCTTAAAAAAAATGGTGCAGTATGTGCCTACTTAACATTATATTAGTATATGCAAATACAAATGGCAGCCTGCCAACACACTGTTTTTAGGCAAACACGTAACCAGTTTATGGTTATCTGCCAAGAGCCTGGCAAGATGTATACCGTACTATGTGGGTTACCTAATTAACATATACAAAATGGCCACCAGCTCACTAGTTTTAAGTGTAAGCACTTTATTAGTAAATTATTAACTCTTTGAGTCCCAGGGATTTAGCATCAGAGGCCCAAGGGGTAGTCGAGAGAGACATAAAATCGGTGCATCTTGCTTTCATTGGGCCTCTAGGCAGGAACCTATAAATGTATGATGCATTCCTTGGGACTCAGAGTTATAACAGGTTTAATGTAAAGAATATCCACTTCATTGCATTTGGTTTTACCCCATATTATTCAGTTTGTTTGATAGTGACTAAATAAAGAAACAGCATATCTCTAAGAGACAATATAATCAACTTAGAATAATAAGAGATGCATTAAATTACGCTACAATAGTTGTGGATTAAAAAAATTAGAATCATTTGTTTAATATAATCAAAGCCAACATTTTTATTTATTGTAGTTGTAGAAATGAAATCTGTAATAATAATAAGACCTCCACAATGGGAGCATGCATAGCAGGAGCCTACTGATCCCCAGTAGTTGGTTCACCTGGGACCTAGCGAATTGGGGTTGATCAGAGAAGTCTCGCTCCTTGGGAATATAGACTCTGTTGGCCTTCTGTCACTCTTTACATATGTATTTTCGGCTCCATGCGAACCTTAGCAAGCGATGAAGCTTTCAGAGGACTTTCTGACAGCCTTTGTATACTGCAGGTGGGACATCATTGGATCCTGGAGCAGATTTGCCGCTTGCTTTTTTCACAACTTCTTTGACCTCAGACCAAGAGGGAGGCATCTGAAGTTCAGGCAACTAAATTACTCTTTTTTAGTAATTACCAAAAAACAAAACAAAAAACAGGTCAAGCACATTTTAGGGCCACCACAATTGAATCAAAGTTTCATGTCATGAAAATATAACTGTTTTAGTTAAAAAAATTTATTCTGTTGTTATACATGTCAGCTATATATAAACTCAAATTTATCATTTGAAAAATCGGTACAAGTTATTGTGTTTGCTAAACTAAGAGTTATTGGTGAACTTACCACTCACCAAATTGTGAATAGCCAAAATACAAATGCACGTCTAAAATGGAAAAAACCGTATAGTTTCACGGCTAGACATAAATTAAATTACTTCTAGTACTAGTGTCGATATTTTAATCTCTGTGTAGTCTACTGGAAAAAATATACTTCAAGGGCATAAACGTTTGGTCATATCATGGATACATCGGGTCTAATGCATAGGTCCAGAAGTTTAAAAACATAGTGACTGACTGGTGGCCGTAGAGATTTACAAAGTTCCTAGAATATAATGTTGCAACTGACTGCAAGAAAAGGAATTGGCCTCCTGCCGATTTCACTGATTTTATTATTTTTATATTGTATCTCATCATCATCATGAAGGTCTTTTAGAGCACATTGCTCTCATCACAGCCTGCTTGAAAGAAACTTGGTATCTCACCTACTCTCCCTGCCTTATGTATTTTCCTACTCAGCGTGTCACTTATATCCTCCATCCATCTTTGTGCTGGTCGGCCTTAGCTCCTCCTACCTGATACTGTGCCTTTTGCTACTATTCTTTTTAATCCGCCATGGTGCTTGATGTAGTCAAAATATTTCATTTTCAGAGACAGGATGCTGTTTACTAGTCAATCTTCCTTGATTAGATGTTTTAGGTTGTCGGTATTTCTTTTATTCTTTGTCTGTGGGGTTCATAGAATCTTTTTTTAGTATTTCAGAATGTTGTACCTAGAATTATAATGTGTGTTATGCTGACATTCCAACAACAGTATCCTATCTACCATGGAACTACCTGTTTATAGTTTCTTCAAGAATGTGAAAAGAATGTGAATGTTTACTTCTCATGAACAATAAATCATTCATATATTTACTGAGTATGCATTCGTGGATGTTCCCAATTTAATATCTCAGAAGCACTTTCTGAACAGAGCCTTGCTGTTGGTTGCATATAAATTGTTTTTTGTTTTGTTTTTGCTACTCTGTTAAATATTGAATCTGTTGCTTGCTCTTGATTCTGTTCAATCCACATGTTAGTGCTGTTTGCAGTATACGACTGGAATTTGTAATTGTGTAGATTCCTGACGCTAGCATGTTTCTAATTTAGGCTGTTAACTGTTGTAGTCAGTAAGTTGAGGCTGTACAGTCAAGCTCCATATCCAGGTTTCTACAACTATATGATGTGTAAAGGTTTTTATGTTTGTGTGTGTGTGGTTGTGTTAACTTTTTCAGGCCCATGAATTTTGACAGATTCGGCTGACATTATTTCCCTTTACAAAAATGGCAGAGGTGTGGTGTACAAAAAAAAAAGCAATAGAGAATGTAATATACTTCTAATCCCTACCAAAGTAAAGATATCTTTTAAAGAGAAATTAGTGTACATTTTGAATATGATGATAAGTATATGTTTGATACTGTTATAGTTAGTATAAAAGAAGAATTCAGCAGGTGTTAATTTCACATCATAAATTTACCCAAAACAAATTCTTCACTTACCATGGTTTTGCAGCCATAAGAGCAGTAAATATCCAAATGTGAGAGTAAAACTTGAAAGTTTGTATAATTTCCTTAAAAAAATTCCAAAGTTATGATAAGTTTCTGCGTTAGTTTATCACTCAGGGCTCTTAGTTCTCACAGAGTGCTGAGTGAAATTTCATAGAAAAAATGACAGATAAATTAGCCATTACACACACACTATTTACTTTGTAGTTATATACAGACTGTAGCTGCGATGATTTCAATGTAGCTTAGCCATAGTATAGTACTGTCTATTTGTTTGGAGCACTTTCCTTCTTCTACATCCTAAATGTGGTAGCAATGGGACATTGTCTGTGTAAACTTATCAGAATCGCCAGATTTTTAAACAGCTGATTGCTTAGAACTAAAAACATCTGACTGAAAAGTTTCTGAGTTTAGGCTGCAGAAAGACGCATTTTGCCGCCTATACGTGTGATTGAAACATTGGTATCCATGGTCCTCGAAAAACAAAGAAAATGCACTGTTGAAAAAAAAACACTAGCTATGAAACATAACAATCTGCGACTACATGTCTTGGAACCCGGAATTTTATTCAAAGGAAGACTTTAGAGTAACTGTCCTTAAATTCTTTAAAAGTAGTTCTTAACATTAGATAGAATACGGCACTGTATGCAAAACAATATTTGAGGGACACACGATCAGCGCTGACAGTGTTGTTAAGGCAAATCGGAACTTCTCAATCAGCACTCACAGCGTTGCTCAGGCCTTGAAGAGTTAATGTTTCAGCTAAATATTTGGTTTGGTTGTGTGAAGAGTGCATAGAAATTACAAGAACTTTTAGCTAACAAGAAAAATGTTTGAAAATGCGTTTGCATATATTTGTCAGGTCAGTAAGTTATTAATTCAAACTTCATAAATTTGATGAAGTAAGAGTATTTGACTTTTTCAGTATTTAACTGCATGTCATTTATTTCTGCCTGGTGGTTATATTTAGTGACTGAACAATGCTTTGATTTCTTTCTTTTTTTCATAACATTTAGAAAACTGTCAGTGAGACTTTAGAGCAGCATTTTCAGGATAAAAAAGTCACAGGTTAGTACATGTGCATAACAGAATGTTATGTTTGCAAACCAGGAAATGACTTCTGATAGAAAGGATTCATAAACAAATTATTGGCTATTCTTGAGGACTAGATTTTATGACAAAATAACAGCCACATATCACATGAGCCAAAGTGCATAAGAACACAATCTGTTATATCAGTTATGTTCTTAATCCATAAAGAAGGAGTGTGCACTCTCTCCCAATAAATCACTTTCCTATTATATTTAATATATTTCTAGGCACAATAATTATAGAGCATTTCTAAAATAACTCAGAAAATGAGGAATTCTAAGAATCAGATTTTTTAAAATCATAAAATGAGTGACATATTTTTACAGTCAGTAAAAACCCTTTACCAATCCACTGATGATCAATATTTTAAAGTACTAATGAGTGTCAAGCTATGAACCCCTTATGAACCAACAGCACTCTGAAATAGTATAAGTGTTGGGATGTCAGCTCGTATTGGTCCAGGCGGTATCCTGCGGCCAATATACACCAAACCTATTTCAGGAGTAGGGCAACACAAGCTATGGCACTAAAGAATACATATATATATATGTGTATATATATATATATATATATATATATATATATATATATATATATATATATATATATATATATATATATATATATATATATATATATATATATATATATATATATATATATACACACATATATATATACACACATATATATATACACACACATATATATACACACATACATATATATATATATAGTATATTTCTAGGCGCAACTTGGCCGGACGTCCCCACTACTTCAAGAAAATAGCTCCCAGACTATGATAGTGTACTATCACAGTCATGTTAACACAGATTAAGATTATTACAATAAATACATGTACTCCAGGCAAATAAGAACAGTGAATGATGGACACTCAAGTCAATAATGAAAAATTCCAAAGACGTGTAATATATTCAAAATATGCATCATATAAGAATCAAGCAAAGAAATTCAAGAACAGCCAGAATGATGAAAGACCAAAACCACAGTATGTCTGACTGATCCTCGGAGAGATTCCCAGAGTCAGCCTAGGTTCATTATCATAAATAAGTGTGGACAATTAATATGAGAGCCTGGCGTTTAACTATTGACTGATGTCACTTATCTGTTCACACTTCAGAGTCACTGCCCTCAACTGGTTCAGGATTACTTGGAAAGGCTGACCTTCTTGGATTTTTCTATCAGGTGGTTGATATGGTAAAAAGTCAACCTCAGATGTCAATCACTGGAACCCAAACAAGCTCTTGGTGAGGGTATTCTGGCACAAAGACTGTTTCTGGCAGCCCCGAACAATTGCTGGACAAAAGGATGGTGAAGGTGCATCACCCATGATAATGTCTGTTGACAAACTGTAGGATCGCTATCTGTTGGATGACAACTGGTGGCCTGTAAGATGACGCCTACAAACTGGCTTACACCTTGCTGGCTTCCATGCTGGTGGTTATGTGGACAGCTGATTGACTGCCTGGCTTCCAAGGAGATATCATCCTGTGACAAGAAGGAACTCAGAATTAGCAGTCATCTCACAGTTCACATGCCTAGCTCATTTTATGATCATCCACATTTAGCAATCACTCAGAGGTCAGCTCTCAGGATAATGAGACAGTAATAGCCCTCATGTATCTCAGTCTGTAAGGATAAGAGACAGGAGACAAGGTCCACAGTGGGGACAAACAGTCTCCATCAGACAGAGAACACGTCTGTCCACATCCAACTCTGCACCTTTAGTCACACAGACCACCACTCTCCCACATTTGTATATATTATTTTCCATAGACTGACCCGTCTACCCTGTTTTGTGTTGAGTTTCCTATATGTTTCCATGATGTCACTGTGGGTGTCTCTATTTGCGCGAAGAAGCTGTGCACTGACCAAATTAAATCTGCCAGCTTCGAGGTCGCCAACCAAATTCTCAACTAGTTGGTTATGGATCGATTGGACTGATAGATTACTTCATTTATACTAGTATTGGTTTAGGTAGGGCACATACTCTCAGCTTCAAAGGGGAAGGGTTTATTCAGGTGCCGGGAGTCTTTTGACACCAAGAACATTCTCGCTCTGTAATGTCTCATAGCCAAATCATTCAACTCAGCAGCAGGTTAAATATATAGATATAGATACATGGTACTCGTAAACTATAATCGACTTACCCAAGCTTAGGATTCCTCTAGGTGATAAACTGGTACTTCGTTCTAGACAGAATTAAGCACAAAGGCAAAAAAAACTTCTGATCTACATGGAAGCCCGGCTGAGAATGAGAGGGACGCTTGGGGTCACTTGCAAAGAAAGTAGCCCCCTTGATCAGTACGCCGAGGGGTGAATTGTCTTCTCGGATTAAGAATATTAACCCAGAGAATCTCTACCCTACAACTGTAAGTTTGAAAATGTAGACTTTTCAAGAGATCCAGAACATATAGAAATATCTTTTCCGTCAGATAAAGGTATAAATAGACATGATGAACTATATACCCACCGGACGGGTCTATATTTGAATGTGACCTGCCCGCTAGGGGCGCCAGCGTCACAAATAGTCTACAGTGTAGGGGTGGTCTTGGTCATTCCACCACACATAGAAACAGAAAATTTAGTTAGTTCAGGGTAAAATTTCGTTCCCAGTTCATTAAAACAGCAAAACTCGCCTGTTTAAAGGCAAAGGTAAAAAGATAGACTTGAAAATAATCAAGTAACGGGTAGGAAAGCCACCGCTGCACTGGACATTTAATGAAGGTGAGATATTTATTTGACAGGAGGGCGTATGGAAATATCAGCACAGTCCTGACAGTTGGAGCTTAGATTACAGATAAGCTCTCCTTAAAAGTGGCCACTAGTATACATTCTGTGTACAGTATATAAAATAATTTTACAATCTTCAGTTTTGGAAGTTGCTGAATTTTGTAATGTCAACCAGTATTTGATTTTGTTATCAAACAGTGTTCAGTTTAACCAGTTTTTTCTTTTTCTTGATTTATTCTGTCATGTTTCATGCATGAGTCTCTCTCTGTCTGTCTCTCTTTCTCATTTTTGTGCTCCCAGCCATGGAACGGGATAAAAGTAAAAGAGGATTTCATCACTAATTTTATACTATTGTCAAGGACCAAAAGTTTCTGATAGAAGTAAAAGTAAAGGTAATAAAATAGTAAATGGATATGTCATTAGAAAAATCTAGCAAGCAATGTCCAGATGAGAAAGTTAAAGACCTAATGACCACAGAGAAGATGGAGAAAATTCACGACTGGCATGGGTATAGGTGAAGAACGCTGCAGCTTTTAATTTATTTAATTAATTAAAGGCAATTAGGAACAATGCATGCTTGATGATAGAATTATTCCTTCTGTTATTTTCAGTGAAAGGAACTGCTCTTGAACTTGTAGCAGAGCTGTTAAGAATTTTCACTAAAGGTATTTGATAATTTAAATTGAAAAAAAAAGAAGCTAAAATACCCATAATAAAAGTAATATTTTTTTTAATATGTATTTTGCAAAACATTATACAACAGATATGTTGTGTTAACTAATTGAAGCACATTATAGCATAAAATATTTTAGTGTGACCGGTGAGCATGATTTATGACTGATCAGTGTTTCTAAAATGAGCGAAATATCCGTCTTGATGTTATGGTAATTTAAGATCCTCAGAATGCCTACAGATCTTTAACAAATAAAGTGTATGCCGTGTACAAATGCAGCTAATAGCCAATGCATGTTTCTCTGTGTGTGTGTGTGTGAAATCATGCAATAAAGTGTTTGATTGTAGTCACAGTTAAGACAAGCAACTAATTATGTGCCTGTGTTATCTCCCCTACCACAACCAGTAGTTACCTGATAAAATAATATATCACACATTTTTAGCTATCTGTCGTGTATTCTGTTTGTTATAATTTCAGAATTACTTGCTTTGTCAACAGTATAAATCTTGAAGTTTAATATACTTCTATATTAAACATAAATGCCTTGTAATTGTGTCTTTTTTTTTTTTTTTTCAAACTATTTGCCTTTTATGAATACTTATTTGTAACATACAGAAACAACATTTCTGCTTAAATATGCAAATCTAATATGTTGGGGTGATTAACATTCCCATTTAACAACAACGACAAAAAGTTATAATTTAAAAAAATGTAATCCTTTTCTGTTTTATTCATAACAGAAGCTTTATCTAGAGCGGCTCTACAAGCAAAGGTAGGTAGATTCAGGATTTTCAAAAGTGCATTGAAAGTCTTTTTCTGTGTCTGAGAATATTGCTTTAAGTAAACTGCATACCTTATGAAGAGTATTGCAGGCTTAGTTTTTACAGGATATGAAACAATTTATTATTGCCAGGGCCATATTTGGGTAGCAATTTTGATAGTGAAGAAATATACAAAGAAATAAATTCTTTCACTGCCTGCTGCCATCCACTAAGCTCTGCACACAATTGTCTTGTTATTTCCTACTGCATTGCGCATTTCATATTGCAGTGTTTTCTAAATATAGCGAGCCATTCCTTTAACAGTGAGCTTTATTCATAACTGTATGCATGAGCAAGGCATCAGATTTCAAAAGCCCGAACAAAATATGGAACTACTGTATAGTTTGAAAACCAAGTTACTTATTTTGAATTCTAATGTTTTTTCCATTTTAATTTTAACATATACCAATTTGAGCAGCCACTAAATTCACTCAAAAACAAATGCCTGTGAAAAAATGTTGAATATAAAATGGGATGAATTGAGAATGGGCAAAGAATTAAGAGAAACGTCTGGCAACCAATAGTATCAACAGTTACAAGACAGAGAAGATTGCACTTTGTTGCACACATTCCAAGGAGAAATTAGCAGAGAATTACAAAATAGGCGCTAAATTGGGAAATTAGGGAGTTGAGGACACCCAAAAGAAACCCTAAAACGAACTTTGAGAGAGGCAAAAGCTGCTGGACTGGATTCCATTCATGATATTGAATTGATTGCACAAAGTGGAAAGGAGTGGAGGAATAGACTGCGAGTCCTATGTGACATATAATAGCACAACAGGACAGTATGAATGAATGAACTTTAAATAGTTTTCTTGCCATTTAATATAAACAACATGTAGACTCAAATGCAGATGCACAAATAAACTTCACAGTACAAAACAAACTGATCACCCACCATGCAGCATGTAGGAATGTTTGGTGATAAGTAGGAACATGTGTTTATGCATGTGTGAGTGAATGTATGCATGTTTATATTTATGTGTAAATGAGTATGACATTTGCCATCTGTGCCTTTTTGTTCTTTACCTTGTACTCATATTATTTGACTAAATGAACATAGCATGCTTTGCAGATAACAGTTAAATTGGTGCATGAACAATTAGTGTTTGGAAGGGCCAAATGTAAGATGGACTCATTTGTTACCTGTCCATGCATACAATATCTAGCACATTGGTCTGGCTCATTCGTGCTCCATGCTCTGATGCAGCAGCCATGTCTCCTTGCTTAACATACTTAGTAGAAGTTGACTGGCGTATCTTTCTTTGCCTTGCAACCAGTTTCTGCATGCTTGTCCTCTTTAAATGCCCATTTCCAACAGGCGATTCATTGTCTCTGACTCCTTTGTCTCAGTCTCTGGAACATAGCATATTCAGTATGACAGCCTTGTTTATACTTCTTCCTCCACAAACCACTACAGACACTGCTGGTCTGTCGGGTCTTTCATTTCCTTTTACATATTCTAGTTTGCAAAGCCAGGAAAAGTTTCTTGATGACACTTCTGGAAACTGTCAACCCACTCTAGTCAGAGTTTGCCAGTTTAGGTCTTCTTAAACATGCTCATTAAGTCTGTCACTATATGTGCATCAGCTGCTTTCTGCTCCGTGAGCCATGCTAGATGACAGTTTGTAACCCTTCTCTGTCTGTCTCTGTCTCTTTCTCTCTCTCTCTCTCTCTCTCTCTCTCTCTCTCTCTCTCTCTCTCTCTCGCTCTCTCTCTCTCTCTCTCTCTCTCTCTCTCTCTCTCTCTCTCTCTCTCTCTCAGTCACTCACTCACTCACTCTCTCTCACTCACTCACTCACTCACTGCTGTCTATTGTATGGCTAAATCCTAAAGAGTTCTACCAAATGGTTTGAAACTCGCATTTAAGTAATTATTTCCTGGCATTAATAGCCAGTTATTGAGTAATCTCTGTTACATCATGAATAATTCTGCAGGCTGAAGGTGACGCAAGTGTTATGACCGAGCATTTGGAAAAAATTCTAGTGCAGCTGGTATGTTTTCATTTTTTTTTTTTAAATTTCAGCTGCAGTTTTAAGCATATTTTCTTCTTCATCTGCACCACATTGTTTTGTTGATTACAGCTAAGCTGCAAACATTCTGCTTCAGCAAACCCCAAATCAGTTGGAGGAGTCACTGTAGTGTAGCAGCTAGACCTCGTCTGCATATCGGAATCTGTGGATTCAAATCTGAATGGAGCTGGATTTTGAAGAAAAAATGATCCAGCCATAAAATGGGGATATAGGTTAAAGTCCCTAGAAGTGAAGGTGGTCAGTATTATGCTGACAAATCACCCGCCACTTGGTCTATATAATATAGGTCTAGCTCTGTTTGTGCAGTATGCCTGAAAGTGGGAAAAAGCATCCTTTCCTTTTCTTACCTAATCAGTTCTCTCAACTTGTTAGAGGGATAATGGGTCTGTTATGTTTTTCTTTCAGAAGGCATAAGCCACACAATTAAAAACAAATATTTGTTTTTGAGTTGGGGCTGATTGTATATAAGCTTCTGAGAAAAAATTTGTGTAACTCCAGAGCAGAAATGTGATCATGTTGCATAATTTTTTTTTTTTAAAGTGTCAATAAGGGGTCTTGATCATCATTGTGTCTTGACATTCTTAACTGTCCTAAGCCACTGGCAGTGATTAAAAGTGGGAACCATATTTGCTGTATACATGAGTTGATTTCCACCAGTTGTGTCTCTTTAGAGTAAAGGTGAAGGACCCTTTTCCACACCTTCAGGCATGTTAGGCATACAGGGCTAGCTATTTTATAGACCAATCTGCACTCAGTGGGTGATGTGGTCATCACCGCACTGGCCACCTTTACTTCCCAGGACTTTACCTAGGACCCATTTAAGACTGAGTTGACCTGGAAGCCTGGTTATTTTTTGAAGACAAAAGGATTAGTTTTGCCAGGACCTGAACTTAGGACCTTCGGGTCTGCAGGCGAGCGTTTAGACAATATACCACAATGGCTTCCTCTTTAGAAAGACAGAGAGAAATATTTTCACCCCAAAAAAAATGTTTGTAGTGTCAGCGTAGAAGAATATAGAAACTAGAAAACATGACATACATGATGGGCTGTGTTTAAAAAAAAAAGTTGCCAGATAACGGATCCCTAGTTTTCTTACAAAGAAATGAAGAGAATAAAATAATAAACTGGGATCTGATTGTTCTAATAAACTGAAGATATGAAGATAACATGGCCAAGAAGTTCGTAAGCAGCTTCAGAACCTATTTCTTCTTCTTCTCTTCCACCTTGTACCTCAGCCAAGTATTAAGGGAAACATTTGTTGATGAGCTCTCTCAAGACCACTATTAAGATTAATGTTAATTTCTGTAAGGCTGTTCTTATGCCATTGCTCTGTATTTACCTTTTTTTTTTTTAAATTTAATTTCTACAGAACACTGGGCTCCCATGCAGGAGACCAGGGTTCGAATCCCCAGTACAGCATTTGATGTGTTTTTTTTTTGTTTTTTTTTTAAATATGGGGGCAAAATAAATCTTTACCTGCACTTTTGTGGCAACATCACTAGCCATGTGGCCCAAAATACTATAAATGATAATTAAATTTGATGATTTTGCATACTTATAATTTCATTTCAAACTCTCCGATTACATGGTTACGCTGAATTTTTGTAGGTTTCCATTTATTTTGTCTGACATTGCGTTGTAATTAGGCTGTGTTGTTTAACATAGCATTAGTTTCGTAATTATGATGTATTTTTCCTGTTTTCATTGCTTTTCACCTGGTTTTGTTTTCTCCCAACTTTAATGAGGGAGAGAGTAGTCGGTGACTTGGGAAAAGGGGGAGGCGGTGGAGGGTGGGGTTAACATAAACTTTTAACTTGGAGAACTTTAAGTCACAGTAAGTGCCTTACCCACTCAAAGTAGCAGCAGTAGTATTAGTTGTGGTTGGGCACCGTATAGCTGTCATTCCGGAGGCCGCCCGTAAGGTGATGGCGTTTATCTGTCGGGGAGCGAAATTATGCATCCTAACCTGACCAGTCTGTGGCAGCGCTAGCCATGCGGCGCTAAATTCTCTGGCTCACGACCCACTGTCTACTTCGATGGTACAATAGATAGCGGTGACATTATTTTAGTTACTGTGGTGGTAGTAGTTGTACTGGTACTTGAAGGATGGTATGGTAAATATTACACTAGCCGCATTTACTACTCATTACAATTCCTGCTCCCTATTTTAGTCAGGGTGCACAGGGATATCATAGTCAGATACAAAAATATCGTCAGGTGATGATTTTCAAAGCCTTTGAAGAGGGAGAGAGCAGTACTCGGTGGATGGGGGAGGGGAGGGGGTGATGACAGAAACTGTTTACCTAAAGAGCTTAACACATGATTTTAAAGTTTTCATTTCTTAATTTGTTTTATTTTACTAAAGCTACCTCAGCTATTATAATTTTTTTTTTTATTTGATAGTACAGTAGTAATCTTTACTTCCGTCTCTTTAAAAAATCAATTTTAGCATGTGATAACCAAATAACCATATTTAGAAGTCCTAATAATACAATTTAAACGACCACTATAAGGACAAAATTATATGTTGCTTGTTCTAGAGTCAACAAACCAGACTATATCTGCGCAGGCAATGATTGTGACATTAACCATATTAGACACATGCGATTTCTATTTTCTTTCTTTTAAAAAAATCTTTGATGAGTTAGAGAGTAATCGGTGGATTTAAGGGAGGGGGGGGGAGGGGAATTGAGGACTATCTCTATATCTGCACAGACAATGATTGCAACATTAACCATATTAGACATGTGCGATTTCTATTTTCTTTCTTTTCCATTTAGCCAAAATATGCCACAGCAACGCGTGGCTGGGTGCAGCTAGTAGTACCTATAAATATTATTAAAAGAAGTGGCGATAGTACACAGCCTTGACGCAGACCGGAGTTCACTATAAAAGTTCAATCTTATGGAGCATTTGCTACATGTGTATAGGCTTTTGTAAATATTAATGAGATGATTGCTGATTGCCTTTTTCCCCATACATTCTCACAACATATTCCTGTCGACTCTATCGAAAGCTTTTTCCTGGTCTTTGAATGTCAACAAACAGTTCTTATTGTGTCCTATTGCTCTTTCTGATAGTTGTCACAATGTAGAAATGGCATCGGTGCAACATCTGTTTCGTCGAAAGCCCATCGGTGCTTCTGATAGTTGATACTCTATCAATGGTCTTAGCCTTCTTTCAGTGATCTTAGCATACAAGGTCTGACAAATAAGTAATGAGATTAAGTCCATACAAATTTAAATAATCAGAAGTTGAAGATTTAACCTGTATTTTATTCAAAGTAAGCCTCTTGTGCATTGATACAGCGAGTGGTATGATCTAACAAATACTTGAACGACCTCTGTATTCTTCTGTCGTTATGGCCCTTAAAGTCAGTGTTATGGCCCATTGGATGTCATCGGTATCGTCAATGAAATGTCCTTTCAATGGCATTTTTAATTTTGGAAATAGAAAATAGTCATGAGAAGACAAATCCATAGGAAAAGAATAGATGGTTGAGAACACGCACTTGTTTTGGGGCCAAAAGTTCCTGTACAACCACCGCCCTTCAAACTGGTGCATTGTCATGAAGTAGGAAAAAAATTGCCAGGTGTTGAATACAAACCGGCAAGCAACCTTTTTCTTGCCCAAATCTTCAACTAAAATTTTACGAATAGTCTCTGTATTAACACCAAATTCATCTACCATCATCCTCACGGTTAAACAACAATCTTCATGTATCTGTTCTCTTAATTTTGCAATGCGTTCCTCATTACGAACAGAAATTAGGCATCCAGGTCTAGTTGCATTAGTAATCATTTCCACACCATTTTTTTATCAATAATACCAGCTGAAAATCTGTTAGCGAGATAAACAATTATCCCCATAAACGTGTTGCATCAATTCAACTGTTGCAATGGCACTTTTTCTGAGTTTTAAATGGAATTTGATGTTAGCTTTTTTACTCCATACTGATTACATAACAATGCACTTCTGACTAGGTTAACAAAATGGCGGCTTGCTTGTTGTTTGCTTATCGGGCGGCGATGAAAAATTGCCAGATCATATACGAAGATTGCTTTTTTGGATTCCATGCTGTGATTCTTGGATGGCTTTTTTATGTGTGTGTGTGTGTCTTAGCCGTAATCAGTCTCATTACTTAATTGTCAGACCTTGTACATTTTCTTAGTGTGAGAAGCGATATTCCTCTGTAATTATTACAGTACCTCTTACTTCTTTTATTTTTCCATAGCTGGATGATGACAGCAGTTTGCCAGTCTGATGGTGTTTCTTGATTTTCCCATGCCACCTAAAGTATTCTCTTCAATCGTATTGCTCCCGCTTCTTCTGATGCCTTGATGGCCTCAGCAGTTAGATCATCAGTACCTGTCGCCTTTAGTCTAGGGGCTGTATGAATGACATATTCTACTTCATCTAATAATATACTTAATTCTAGTTCCTCTGCCATTAGTTCCGAGTTGTTTTTATGTTTCCCCTGCTTTCATCTGTTTGTTTGCAGGTAAATAACCTGTTTGAATATACCAAATCTAAGCCGCAAGAAAGATGATACATATCACCAGCTCCACCGAAGTGAACAAACAACAGACTGCACAGAGCAAAACAGACTGAGGTGCCACCTACCCAAAAGGTTGAAAATAGGAGATCCTGTAGCACTGGTCAAATGATGACTAAATATTTGATACAAAAAAGTGTGCAGAACAGAGACAAACTGCAAAAACATAAGATATCAGTTACTTTAAACAGGCTGCTGTATTTTTTTTTAAAAATACAGTGGTTCCTCGTAATACGTACTTAATTCATTACAAATCCTTGGATGTATGCCAGACAGAACAGATACCAAACAGATAGTCTCATAAGTAAAATTTAAAAAAAAGAATAATAAATCCGTTCCCATGAACAAAAATGCTGTTCTCATGGATATACTATACATTAATGGGGTTGTATAAAATAATGAATATGCTGCCTAATGCTAAAATATGAGTTGAGTGTTAATAGGATGGAGCAGAGAATGTTTGGAAGGAGAGTCCCCTTCCAAAAAAAGTTCTGAAATTCTGGCAGATTTTCCTCTCTTTCTCTTTTTATCTGTCAGTTTTCATTATATGGATCTGGTTGAGGGTCATCAGGTTTGACTTGTGTCCAAAGAACTTTGCTTCTCCCTTCTTCTCAGGAGGGTTCAGAAATGTGACATTGGTAATTCCAGTAATGCTATTATGGCCTGTTTCTCTGCAGAGTTATTGACATAAATCCATGGTTGGCTTTGTCTCCAGTCAGATAAATAAGTGTAGCGCAGTTCTATGACTAATTTTTATTTATAAAAGTTCTAGCATGCTAGTTTTTTAAAAAATATTTTTGCATCTAAACTGTGTATTTCAAGTTAAACATATGAGAAGGTGCCACTGTCTACTCATTTGGATGCCTGGATGTAGATAAAGAAGAATATTTATTATATACACTCCCAGTGACATGGCACTTGTCTCAGTGGAAATGAATATTTAACTTGTATTTGGATTATGGCAGGTACTGATTATTTACTCTAATATCATCATTCATAAGTTTCTGTATATATGGATGTTCTAGTAACTGATTATTTTCTTAGTTACTATGCATGCATTGGTGATAGGAATGGAAGTTTATACAGACGACACATAGCCTGTGATTAATCATTATATCCACTGCAACCTTGATTCACTTTTGCTTTTCTTTATTTTCAGTTGCTTGATATGTAGTAGGGGAAACTACAGGTTTACTCCATGTAAACAAAATCAAAGAACCGAGCAAGTCTTGAGGATGTTAGGCAATTAATATTGCTTATGTCTGACATTTTTGTTTTCTGAACACATGGCATCAAATTGAACTATAAAGCTACATTATATTATGCCTGACTGTGTAGGGAATTGTGTTTTTATCAGCCTGCATATGAACAATCATTTATGTTTCTACAAAATAATTGTTAAATCTCTTTCAGTATTTTAAATAATTAAAGTTCTTGCAATCCTTCAGACTTTGTCAGACTCATTTTTGGTTTCCGATATTAAATTTTACTAATATTCTTGGGCAATATCTGAAAGCTTAAGTATGATCTTTGACGTACACTCCAGTGAAATATGTTCCACTGTCATATTTGAATCTCTTTATGAACTCACAGAACTGAATTTGTATTTAACCCACACATTTACAGTCAGTACTTCTCTCTACTTGTTATCAGTTGTGAATATAGAGTTATGATCATGTCAACATTTGTTCCTGTTAAAAGCAGCCCAAGCCATTGCTTTAAAAGTGAGCTTTATTCATAACTATTTCTTATAACTGTTGTGAAATTTTTCAGAGCAAAAGCAGAAAACGGCATCTTTTAAAAATTTTGATGATGACTAGTGACAGTTCACTGAACACCATTAGGGAAGAAACTGATAGGAATTATGGTGATTTGGAAGACCCCACTCCATAGTTACTGCACCAGCCACCATAGCCAATATGTATGCCTACTGTTAATCTTGTTGATTTTCATTTACTGGAAATTTACAAAAATATGTTGACAACGAAACTTATATTACATAACAGGGGCCGCATTAGCGCAGTCGATAGGAGACTCGCTTTTAAATCCAGCTGTGATTCGCTGCAGCCCACGGCCAGTGTTTGAAACCAGGCAGTTCCCGGGGTTCACCCAGCCTCTAGTTAATGGGTACCAGATTTAACGCTCTGGGGTAAATGGAGGAACATCGCTGTAGCTACGGAGTTACGTACAGATTGCAACACAGGCGGACAGTTTCTTATCAGCTACTGGTGGCAGAGCACTTATGGTTTATAACCGTGTGAAATGATGCTGGTTCACATCTCCTGACTTTACCTTTATCACATAACAACTAAGCAAATACAAGTTTAGGCTCAGCAGCATATTGCATTGCATGCCAGACTGAAGGGCAGATTGTGTTCATTATTGGATTTTTAAAAAAAGCTAAATAAAGACTGGTTAGAATATAAATTTTTAAAGGAATTCTGTAAACAATGGAGCACAAACAGTCATTTTAAAAAAGTCATGATCTCTTTGCAAAAGACATGAATAAAAATAAACGTCATTTCCTAGACTTCTGCTGATCACATCCAAAAACAACAAAAGATGTGTTGTATGTACAATGGGATGTTGGAAAGAATCCTTTCATTAGTGCACAAAGTGTGGTGCATTACATGTGGCGTCTTGTATTTAAATTTTTCAGATGGCAGTGATTCATATGTGGTATTATGTAAATTATAAGTAATTTTTTTGTTTTTATGTTTACTCCGTTTTAATTTGCTCGGCAAACTAAAAAGTGCAAACAAAGCATGTCCACGTGTTTGTAGAGTTTTCATTTACAAACAAACAAACAACCTACACTGTATCAGTCCATTTCCGGCTTTTTTATTTGCAAGCTGCAAGGTTACCATTACACGTACTCTCTGCGTATGCTTTTACCAATTGCAGCTTTATTCATGACGCCTGGTCAGCATACCTTACAGCATTCTGGCATTCTAATCATGCAAGTGGGATTTAAGAGCAGGCTATCATGAACTACCTGGTTGTTTTTTGTGTGTGTGGCTAGTTTGTGCCATCTGGTAGTTTTGTGACTGATCTGGCCTTTACATCTTTGCCAAAATTCAGTAAAAGATGCAGTGTCTCAGAATTTACAGTTAGAAGTATACAAATAAAATTGATAACTAGTCCTCTGTTAGGATTTTCATTCTTCTAGGAATTTTGCATAAGACAGAACACAAGCAGTACTTTTTACTTAATCTTTATTTTCTCAGAAAAGTAATGAATGTCAGAAAAGAATTTTTAAAAAATAATGAATTGCAGAAAAATAACAATTGTTTAAACCTCAGAAATATTCAGGATGGTATTGACTTTAAGGGAAACGATGATTATTGAAAAAGGACTTCAGAAAGTCAAATGAGCCTTTTCAGACATCCTAATCATATGTACAGGCGATGGCTCAAGCCAATGGTCAGTATATTGTAAACACTTATTTGCTTCATTTTAATCAATTATTTATGTTTTATGCACCTGAAGAGATACAGTGAAATTTTCCAGGCAGTCAGATGTGCAGTCTACTACTGTTTATGTACATACAATTTTTCAAATGATTATGGCCCAAGATGCACAAATGTAGAATATATGATAGCAAACAACAAGAAGTTTATTGTAAACATATTTTGTAAACATATTCTTCTGGTATGTATTTTTTTTTCACAGAAAAATAAATGAAAATTTCAAATATTTCTTGGAAATACAGTCATCGGAAACAGTCGTTTAAAAACGTTCAAGTTATATTATAGTAAGAAAATGGCTCCCCAATAATAATCATATGTGATGAATGTTTAAATAACTAATAAACAGTAGCTGCATGAATTAACAACCATTCAGAACATTTCACAGCAGGGATGTGTATTCTGATTTGTTTTAATTTTACAGTGAATATATCATGAGATCTGTCGTGGATATGCCAGGAATTGTGTCTGTAGTACCAGTTTTCACATATGGCTGTGAATCCCAGACAAAAAATAAACTACCATAAAATATTTTGAGACCTCATGTGGTTTACAGAAGAATCCTTAGAATTCATTGGACACCCAAAAATAGCAACAACCCAGGTGTTTTGAGAGAGGAACTCAAGGGCTCAAAGACAACTTATCACAAACATTAGAGACAGTCAGTCATAATTTTTTGGTCATGTTATCAGAAGGAAACTGAAACATGTGACCACTGGAAACATCTGTAGAAAAACAAACAAAGACAGCGTGAGATGATTCTTGTCTGCCTTTTGTCATGGCATGGAGGGGTGTGAACACATAAAATTCTACATGCTGAAGATCACAGATGGTGGAGAGGCAAGGTACTAGATAATGATGGAATAACTTACAATAAAATATTTCATATTTGTCACACTTTCCATGTCATTTCTTATTTACTAAAACATATTTTGTTTAGTATATTCCATTCTACTGGCTGTGAAATTTTATATAAACCTAAAGGTTCACTGGGTCTACTGTTTAGCAAAACATCTCAAAAAGCCACTTTCATTATGATTGATTTTTATTTAACAAAGGCCTGCAGAAGTCAGCTGAAAGGTGCAAATATTGCAGCCATGTTATAAAGGGGTACAACATAATTAATCTTCAGATGAAGAAGAAGATACGTTAGTGATATCAAGAAGAAGACTCTCAGAATATACCATTAAGTTAAGAGAAGCAAACACTGATTGGTAAATTTTGCAGTACTAATAAAGATGGGAAGGATCTACGAATAATAAAGAATATGTATTGGCAGCAAAAAGCAGCTGTAAGAATTAACAACTGTTTAGGTACATTTAAAAGCATAAAGAGGGGCGTATGACAAGGATGTGTACTGTCACATGATTTCTTTTCAATTATACAGTGAATATATAATGAGATCTTTAATTGATATGCCCGGAATTATGGTTGGTGGACACAATATAAACAGTTTACGTTATGCTGATGACACAGTCTTGATAGCAACAAGTCAGAAAGAACTACAGGAAATGATAGACATTGTGGTGGAAGAATGGGCCTCAGTTTGAATAATGGGAAGACAGATGTTATGGTGGTATCAAAGAAATTATTCCTAAATGTGTAATAAAAGTCGATGGTGTTATTTTAAGTCAAGTACAGAAATTTAAGTATCTGGGCACATAGATAACATCAGATGGAAGATGCATAACTGAGATAAGAAACATAATAGGACAGGCAAAAACTGCATTTTATAAAATGTACAATATATCCTTTTCATTGAAAGTTAGAAAAAGAATTCTTGCTTGCTAGAAAAAGAATTCTTGCTTGCTACATACATCCAGTTTTAACATATGGCTGTGAATCCTGGACAATCGGTAGGCAGGCCAAACAATTTCTAGAGGCCTCAGAGATGTGGTTATACAGAAGAATGCTTAGAATACCTTGGATAGCCAAAAAGAGCAACCAAGAGGTTTTGAAAGAGGCGAGAGCCCGAAGACAACTTATCACAGACATCAGAAGGAGACAAGTCATCATTTTTCGGCCATGTTATGAGAAGAGGGAAAATAGAACATGTTGTGACAACTGGAAAGATCTGTGGAAGGAGGGATAGAGGAAGACAACGAGAGAAGATGCTTGACAGTCTTGTTGCATGGCATGGAGGAGTGTCGGCACACAAACTGATACATGCTCCAGGAGATCGCAGATTATGGAGAGGCATGATCGCCCACGCCAGTTGGCAAGGCACCTGATGATGATGATGAATAAAGCAGGTCAATTTAAAAAAACAATTACTTCATAAAGAAAAGTTTAATACATTTACATAAAAACTTCAAAGTAACATTTAAATATTCAGCCTCAGTTTACAAATATGTTTTGGTACTTGTTACTTTGATTGTCTTTATTTGCATCCAAGCACATAAATGTCCAATCGTGCTTTGTCTTCTGATGCAACAGCCATCTTAGTGTCTCCATGCTGACCGCATCCAGTAGCAGTTAGCTGGCTTATCTTCTTTCTTTTGGCAATGTGTTCTTGTCCTTGTTTAATGCCCACTTCCAAGAGGTGGGTCATCATCTCTGACTCCTGGAACACAGTGTATTCACTACACTTGCACTGCCAATACTTCTTCTTCCACTAACCACTGCAAGCACATCCTGTTTGTCAGCTGTTTTATTTTCTATGATCCTAGTGTATACAGCCAAAATAGTTTCTTGATGCATATTTCAA